ATTTGCCTTATCTAATAAGAGTTTTGTCATGCAAAATAAAAGAAAGTACTGGTAACTTCACAGAGTTACCAGAAAAGATCTGACGTAATGTGCAGCAATTACAAATAAAAAATGTAACTACAGATTTACTATTTATGGCCACACACTGAAGAAAGGGAGATACAGTGCTTAAAGTAGAAATAAGCATTTAGAAATAATTATAACAAAATGTTATAGCTAAATGTCATAGGATCACAAAATTACCACGTTCCAGAAGATACTGATAGACTAAAATGTGAGAATTCAAGCTGGTCATGACACACTGAATGTATTATTCAAAAAATGATATGACCACAATAAGCCACAGTATGAAAAACCAATCACATTAATATCATTATAAAAATGCTTGTAAATATTCCTGTCACATTTATATTCCATTCTTTCTCAATGCAAACCAAATTCTGTGCATACCTGACAAACTGAATTAGAACTGTATGGCAATTGGGGGTATCCCGATCACAAATGTTAACTGTGATGCTGATACTCCACTTAAGCAGCCAACTGTGGTAGAGTGAAAGAGCCAACAGCCATCTGACCTCACAATTCCACTTCCACAATCTGCCTTACAGTGTTTGCATTTCTTAGCTAATAGCTGCTTTAACAAAAGTATTCAACAGAAAGTCAACATAGTGCTTCAGACTGAGAAAGCTCAATATGTCTGAACTAAGGATACAGGCAAAAGTAAAATCAGAGTGCTTCAGACATGAACTCTTTCTTCCAAGTTAACAAAATGTGCCAATTTAAAATGTGGAAATGCCAAATGCAATGAAAATAAGATTTCAAAAAGTCGGGAGGTAGGAGAACCACCTTTAGCAACTGTATAGAGGGCAAACAGGATTACGTGTATTAGCTACTCTATTAACTGAACTTCTCATGAAATGCTCCTGATCTATTAAGTAAGTTCAGAACTGAAGAATGCTCTCCTGCGGGAGTTGTAAAACAAATCAGATACAATTACAACGCCACACAAATGAAAAAACCAACCTACTCACTATTGAGATTATTCACTTCATAGTTCATCATTTAAATAAGACCAGAATTTTCCCTAACGTAGCAAGTAAGCCATCTGATATAATTACAGATTTTCCTATTGAAGTTTTCTATAGAGAAAAATAGTTGATAAGAGTAAATTCTGCAAAATGATGGTAACTACACCTCCCAAAGTGAACAGAGCAAACATCTGCTGCAAGAATCGCTTGGCTTCCAGACAGTATAGAGTGTTCTTTTTCCTAGTGTTTTGATTTTTTTTTAAACAAACAGTTTATTTGTTTAAAAAAAACAAAAACATGTTACAACAAACAAATCTCAAGACAGTAAATCTTAACATTCTAGTTTCAAGTATTCTGAACACAGACTGCTTGCTTCTGAGACGGCAGAAGCAAACTGATCAGGCACACTGCCCCGGGTCTGAGTCTCACAGGGATTTCCACCATTGTCTTTGTCTGTTAATGCAATACACCACACAAACATGGTTAACTCACAATAGGGAGAAGGCAAAAATACTAACTCCTGGAGGATTTTTATCTTATGCTGGAATACCAATGACAATTTCATTTTTCTCTTTCGGATTTCACAGGCTTCCACCTACTGCTGGGGTCCATATTCTGAAATCCTTTCTAAACAAATTAATTGGTCATGTTTTACTACAGCAACAGGACAAATAATCGTACATGTTTTTACATCATGTATGAAGCATATAAGAATTCCAATGAAGGAAGGGCAAGCAACAATAAGCATTTATGACTCATTGTCTTATCCTAACATTCTTAAGTGCCTTTTGGTAACCAACATGCATCTTTCTTGATATTTCTAATACCTGGAAATTTACAAAGTGTATGCAAATTAGCAGGTACAGGTAAGTAAAATGTTTATGAGCAATAGAACCCACAGCAAGAATGAATAATAAAAATGACTAGTTCCAAATGTATTTCAATTAACATGTGACTTTGCTCACTTTTCAATCTCTTATCCACTATTCTATCCATGCGCACTCCACATATTTTAAGGTTATTCCTTGCCAAACACTTGATAGTTGGTTTCACAACTAAATTTTTATGCTAACAACAGGAAACAGGTTTAATCTGTGAAACACTACTAGGAGTAGTTCAACAAGGCTTTTTAACTCATTCTTCGTAAGTTTCTCTGACATTAAGAAATGAGGAAAATAGAAAACATTTCTTTTTTGGTTCAAGCCCGAAACAAATGAGAGCACTTCATCTGCTTCCATAATCTCCAAAGACTATAATGGAATTTGCCCCTATACAAATGCAGCCTAAGACATTAATAATATGTACCTGTATGGTATTTGTTTATATCATCATCAAGAAAATACTTTCAAAACAGACTGCAAAAATGTCTTTCCAATACAAGCAAAATTTCTGAGAAAAGTGCCTGGTGCAAGAGCCTGGTGCCTCAAGTCCTTGCCTTGCATGTGCTGGGATCCCATACAGGCACCAGTTCATATCCCGGCTGCTCCAAATCCCTCCCAGCTGTCTGCTTGTGGCCCTGGAAAGCAGTCGAGGACGACACAAAGCCTTGGGACCCTGCACCCATGTGGGAGACCCAGAAAAAGTTCCTGGCTCCATTGGTGCAACTCTGGCCATGGGGCTACTTGGGGAATAAACCCACAGATGAAAGATGTTTCTATCTGTCTCTCCTTCTCTATGTAAATCTGCCTTTCCAATAAAATAAATCTTTGAAATTTTTCTTAAGGAAAGCAAATTTATAGATAATACAAATAAAACATAAAATCAAATTTCTCATATACTTCACGCTATATAAGTTTGAAATGATTTCCAAATCATATTTATGACTAAATTTATAACTCTTTATCTTAGTAAAGATAAGTCACAAAAGCAGGGAAGGGTATTGGCTATTTTCCTAGCAGAGATAGCCAGTTAACACACACAAGACCTCCGCAGAAGCCTTCACTGCAGAAAGCTTGCTATGTTCAAATACATTCAAACCTATAGAAGGTCAATGCAAATCACATGTTAGGCTTAAATAACACATTTGTCCCAATTATTTGTAGTTAACAGAAAAATAAATGGTTTTATAAACTTAAAAGTAAAAGAAAAGAATCACTTGAGATATTACTTGAGATATCTTGAAAAGCATGATTTGAAGTTTTACTGGTACTTGTGCCATATCTATCCAATATTAGAATATGTTAATATGAATTATATTTTATAGACATACCTGTTACTCATTTGTGGTCTGCAGTTTATGATTCACATATTTGCATTTTCTATACTGGCTTACTGTCTATCAGAATAACAATGTACTTTTAGCCAAGTGCTTTTTTTTTTAAACTTAGGAGACAGAGGAAGCCTTCTTCTTTTTTTTTTTTAAAAAAATTGGAAAGTCAGATATACAGAGAGCAGGAGAGACAGAGAGGATGAGCGTCCATCCAATGATTCACATTCCAAGCTGGAGCTGAGCCCATCCAAAGCCAGAAGCCTCTTCCAGGTCTCCCATGTGGGCACAGGGTCCCAAGGCTTCGGGCTGTCCTCGATGGCTTTCCCAGGCCACAGGCAGGGAGCTGGATGGGAAGCAGGGCTGCCGGGATTAGAACTGGCAGCCATATGGGATCCCGGCATGGACAAAGAGAGGATTTTAGCTGCTAGGCTCTTGCACTGGGCCCTCAGCCAAGTATTTTTACAATCATAATACTGCTAACTACCCATCATCACACACTATTATTCATTTTACAGGCAAAAAATCCGATGTTAAGAAGTTTGAAGATTCACCTAAGGTCCTTAGAACAGATCAGGAAGGCACCAGGGCTACAGTGCCTTTTGGAATTGGTTTTATTTGTATTTGAACTCTGTTTATTTTTTTAATTTACATATATTTTTTTATTGCATTTCATTTTATAACAACCTTTCCTAGGCTCTGATGTTCCCCCTTCCCCCTTCCCTTGCCCTCTCTGAACTCTGTTTAACAATTAAGTTTTCATCTTCATGTCTTCCACAAACTTAGGTGAAGACTCTACATACAGGTTACTTTTGCTAGTACTATAAACTTCAAAGCAAATTATCCAATTCAGTCCTACTCACATTATGAAAATAAACTGCATTACTCCACCTTTAGAGGAGAGTAGACAGGCACAGGGACAAAGCCATCTTCCATGGCTGCCCACTAAACGTGAAGATGGAGTGAGATGAGTGCTCGGCTCCTTTCTTCCTTTTAGACCAGACAGCAATGTCATTCCAATGAGTCACCTTATTCCACAATCACTTGAGGAAGCACACAACTTGAGGTTACAAGGATAAGTCACAAGGGTCAAGTTTTGATTTTCTGTACTTATAATAAATTCAAGCTTACATGTTGAAAATTGGTCCCATAGCTTATTACTTTAGTTCTATAAATCGGCTCAGCGGACGGAGTGCTATGCTAAATATTTGTCCAGAATTAGCCTTCTGCTTTCTTAGGACAGATACAAACTAAGAATGCAAGGGGGATGAAGAGTGGGTCCCTACGAGAATGTATTTGGTGGCATGCAACTTGCAAGAGAAGACATCAATTTCCAGCCTGGTTGATTATAGAAACAGACTCAACTGCTCTACTCCACACTGAGCAATTCAGAGACAAGAACATGCATTCAAGAGTAATGGATGCATGGTAATACCCACGACGCATTCCTTGCAAAGTCAGAGAGAAGGAAAATGAACTAAGTAAGTTAAAAAACGTTAACTAACTAGGCCTTGAGCCCTTCAACACAGATGACCAAAGTACCCAGACATGTCCTCGAACATTTGCTAATCAGGTACTAAATACTCTGTTCTCTTCAAGTAGGGTTAAGTCCGTAAAGAGGTCTTATTAGACAAGCGAGGTTTTCTTTGTCCTAAGAGGCCCAAGGCTCTATATTGAAAACAACATGACAGTGTATCCTTAACTGTACACATGGCAGCAAAAATCCAACAAAGTCGACAAAGAGTCACAGCAGGAATGAGACATACCTCTTGTACTGAGCGAGCTGCTGGCTTGTCCTGATGATTGGCCAGTATTAAAAATGGTAAAGTGCATAACTGTGGGTGCTGGAGAGCTGAGTGCAGTTCATTTCTAGCAGTTTCTAAGTCATCCTCTGAAGAGGCACTATCTAATACAAATATTACCCCTTGAGATCCTTGGTAGTAGCGGCTCCAGTACTTCCGGATATTATCGGCCCCTGTCAAAAATAAAACAGGTTTTCCTTTTTAAAAAATTAGCTTTCAGCAATTGAAAAGCATTCACAACAGCAATCCCTATTGGAATTCTATGTATCATTTAAAAGTTAAACACTAAACTCTGCACAGTGGATATCAGGAATTCAGAAAAAGCAGAGATGGTGATGGCTGAGAACAAATGAAGCATCAGAACCTACAGGTGGACGTGGCTTGCAATGAGAAAACAAGAGTGTAGGTCCTGCTTCACGACCTGCCTATCAAAACATGTGAGAGGGAACAGGACATCAACTGAGATTTAAACCCAGAAAAATATTCACAGACTTCACTGAGTAACACTAAGTGAAACTCATTCTGTAAACTGAGTGTGAACTTAGCTCAGAAAGCAGCATGACTCAGATGCTCAACAAAGGCTTCTTCCCATTCACATTGGTATGGTGATATTTTCTAAGACAGCTGTACCAAGGTTTTATTGTATTTCCCCAAAGTGCATGTGTTGGAAATTCAATTTGCAAATCCACACGTTAATGGTGTTGGGAGGTCGAGGTCTTTGGGAAATAATGAGGTCAGATAAGGTCAGGAATGTGGGGAAGCCCAGCCTGGGACTACTGCCTCTGAAAGATGAGGAAGAGATAAATCCGCTTGCACATCCCCAGTCTCTCGCCACATGCTGTCTTCTGCCACATGACGCAGCAAGAACACCCTCTTAGACGAGACACCCTGATTTCAGACTTTTCAGGCTACAGAACTGTAAAAACAATATATTTTTTTTAAAAAAAGAAATGTCCTACTCTGTGATATTCAGGACACAGTAAAGGGAATGGGCTAGCTGATCTGAAAGCCTTGTTTAATCCCAACTAGAGTTATTAGCCACAAAGCATTTAGGTACCAAGGTGCTAGACTCACAAATAACTCAACTTTGGTCTTTGTTAAATTTGTTTAAATCCATTGGGGAGATAACTCACAGGGAGGAGTAACATTCACAGCCTCCTTGAGAAAAGATGCTTCCAGAACACAAGTGGAGCCTTTCCTCAGCCAGCACCCCTCCTATTCCTCTTTGCATTTCCAGTAACCAGCACAGTGTAGCCTGAAGGCCATTCCAGGAGGGAAGAAAAGGAACAAATATCTAGTCCAATCCTTCGAGGAAACTGACTTGAAACAAGTGAACTGAGTAGTTCTCAATCATGACAACTCATAAGTTAGATCAACCTGTGAGATAGTGATGACTTGCTCAGGAGAATACAAGGGCATTTATGATCATATCATGAAGAATGATATTATTACTTTGGCTCACGGTATCTATTCACCAGAGCTGTTGGAGGGGCAAGAGCTATATTTTGGAATATCAAATAAAAACTTGATCTAAGGAATATTAACAATGAACTACATATGATTAAGCCCTCACCAGTTAATAACTGTGTTAATAACTGTGTCTCATTTGACTAATCCTCCATCTACAGGCACCAGCATCTGATATGGGCACCAGTTCATATCCCAGCTGTTCCACTTCCTATCCACTTTCCTGTTTATGGCCTTGGAACGAAGTAGAGCACAGCCCAGAGCCTTAGAATCCAGCACCCACGGGGGAGACCTAGCAGAAGATCCTGATTCCTATCTCCTGGCTTTGGATCACTCAGTTCTGGCTGTTGAGGCCACTTGGGGAGTGAATCAACAAATGGATGATTCTTCTGTCTCTCCTCCTTTCTGTAAATCTGCCTTTCCAACAAAAATAAATACACCTTTAAAAAAATAACTGTTTCAGGCATTTATTGAATAGTTACTTCCTATGTTCAACACACTGTGCCAAGTGCTAGGAATATGCACAGTGAGGACCAGAGTTGGCCTGCCAGGCTGGCAACAGCCACTTGTGTGCATTTTTTCCCAATTCTGTGATCAGTCACATCATATTGATGGCTTGAAATCTGCCAGGATGGGAACAGTTTCAGCATTGAAATCTTCAAACATTTTCTTTTCTTTTTTTTTTTTCAATTGGAAAGTCAGATATACAGAGAGGAGGAGAAACAGAGAGGAAGGTCTTCCGTCCGATGATTCACTCCCCAAGTGAGTGCAACAGCCAATGCTATGCCGATCCAAAGCCAGGAGCCAGGAACTTCTTCCGGGTCTCCCACAAGGGTGCAGGGTCCCAAGGCTTTGGGCCATCCTCGACTGCTTTCCCTGGCCACAAGCAGGGAGCTAGATGGGAAGTGGAGCAGCCGGGATTAGAACCGGCGCCCATATGGGATCCCTGTGTGTTCAAGGCGGGGACCTTAGCCGCTAGGCCACACCGCCGGGCCCAAAACATTGTATTTTCATCAGGGTTTTCTCGCATTGAGTCAAAACCCCCCTTTATGACACCAACAAGCTCAATTTAAAGTTGATGATAGATTACAATAATCACTGTCACACAGGCACTCACTGGGTATTCTGGGAAGAAGTCATCAGCATCTCACCCAACATGGATCAAAAAAGTATTAACAGTGTTAAGTGATTCCTATATTCCAGGCATAGTGCTAAGCACTGAAAAAAAAAAAATGAGCCCATAAAATTCATATAAATCAAAAGAAAGGCTTTGATTGACTCAGAATTTGAAACTAATTTCAGATCCTAAAAGTTGGGATATGTACCACAATGCTACACTTTAACAACAAAAAAAGTCAAGGACATCTTAAGTTGCATTTAAATACACAACAGCAATGAGAAATGAGGTAGGTTAGTATGTGTCAAGCTGGAGTTCAGAAAAACAGAAACACAACCAAAATACAGAGGACATTTAAGTTGACTATCATTTACTACAGAGAACTCATTGTATAAGTGAGAGTGGAACCAAGGAAACAACAGGCGTATTCAAACGGAACATCTCAGGTCAGGTTCCCTGGGAGAACTGCCTGACTGAGATGGCATTTCTTGGGCACCTCATTATCAACAGATGCTATCAGCAGAAATGGGGGGGATGGTTTGGGGGCAACAAGCAAACTAGAATAGAAGAAACTAAGAAAGTATATGGTTTCAGAAATTTAGCCTCAGCTTATTCCCTGGAGGAACTCTACAATGTGGGTTAAACCACAGAAGTTGTCCAGTCCAGAGACAAGCGGACTGGGCTATTTCACCCTGTATAGTCATTGGCTATGAGCCACCTCTGGGGAGCAAGTGGGGGGTTGGGGCCTGATCTCATAATCTCCCAAACATATTTGGTTGAGGCAATTACTGTCAGCCAAGAGCAGGCCTCTGGAGAAGGGTACAGGTGTGAGTCATTAGCAGCCAATATTTGCAGCAGCTGGGAGATGGATGCAGTGGCCCAGTAAAGAAGATCTGGGTAAGATACCAACAGCATCTGCTACAAGCTACATTCAGACACCATCCATATGCTAGAGGCTCATCCATAAGCTTGAGGGACAAATGGGGAATCACAGTTACCTAGTGGTAAATATTTAAAGCAACAGAAACGTTGAATGCATAAGTATCCATTTGTAAGATCACTATAGATGTTACTAACAGATATGTAACACAAAATGTTCCCATAATATGAGCAATGTGAAATGCAAGCTTTATTATAAATTCCATAGTCATATAAAGCTTACAATTTTACTGATTTTGTATCAATTGCAAATTGATCGAGTAGATATTGTTATCACTTTTATTTTATCTATAAGGAAATGAAGACACAAAAATTTCATATTATTTGCCCAAAGTGACACACATAAACATGCAATCAGCTCCAACGCACTCAAAATGTTGGAATTGATGACCAGAACTGAGAAGGCTAAAGAAAGAACTCTATTATCACATAAACTAGAGGGGAAGAGAAATGGAACCAGTTGGAACAAAAAAGATAGCCAAGTACCTAGGCTTTTACTAATGCCCAGTATGGGAATATGTCCAGGAAAATTGCTCAACTAGTTAGTTCCGTGAAGTTATTATATACCTATCCCATACAAATCACTAAGCTAGGGCTTAAAGAGGTATTTAGAAAACTACTATTCCTGTTAATTCAGACCCTCAAATCCTGGAAAGCAACAGTAATTACAACAAGGCCTGTAAATCCATCACAGGGAACAAATATGGCCACACATTAGATGATGTTCAGGGAATCAAGAATAAAGAGAAGAATATTAGTTGAATATTTTAATTGAACTTCTCCATTAGAAACACATGGGACTCACTGGAAATCCATCTCATGTGGTTGTCTTTTTCAATGAGAAATTACATTTTCATTTGCCACATTTAAAAATATGTAAGGCGCCTGAAAATAGTGAGACAAAATGGCAATAAATCTAATGACAACACTGCTGGATGAAGAAAAATGCTCTAGCTTCAAAGAATGTCCCTTATATGACATAGGAATAATGTTATTAATAATCCAAGGATCTTTTCCTTTAACCTTATGCTACAGTCTTCTGTGTAGTACTGGCACTTCTAACATTTAATACGAATATAGCTTGGAGTTCTAAAGTTCATTTTCAGTCTCTTGAACAACGGTCTCAGCATCAGCGTAACTCAGACTGGGACCAAAGAAACCAGCAAAGAGGTGAAGAGTGGTATACAGTTGTTTAGTTGGGAGTTTAGTCATCAGACTAAAATGAGAAGTGGCTGTGTCATGACCCAGCCGCCAGATACCTTGAGGCATCAGCTTAATTTGGAAGGCTAAGGACACCTGTTTAGTGGTAGGCTCCAAACATTCCTAACCTACAAATCAAATCCGAAAGGAGTGACACAGGACACAGCATCCTGCAGAAGTGTGAGGTCACTCTAGTTCTAATGACCCAAAATTGTGTGTTCTGTGTCATTTAAACCACGAATGTTATATATAAAATGGTCAAACATCCTACTCAAACTGGTCTAGGTGTATGCTTAGGTTAAAAAAAAGGCAGTAGTTTTAACACTCAGGAGGTTGGGTGAAGAGTGTTGCCAAATGTCCTGAGTACACAAGGATACCTGAAGAAGGACCCCTAGAAAATCTCAGAGTTCATTCTGGCAGCCAAAAGAATGAAGTACTACCATCCAAACA